ATTACTATGCGTAATTCAATTCAAAAATCCGCAATATTGCAGATTTGAAAAAACAATTGCAGTACCATCCTTAATAATTATACTTTTAAACTCAATTAAATTTGTTATTAAAAAAATAGATAATAAGTTATTTTTATTATTTAATTATATATTGCAAAACAAGAACAAATAAAAACCCAATTTTTAAAAATAAAACATTGCAATATAGATGATTATACAGAAGATAGAGTAAAAAACAGTAGATATAGATTTGAAAGAATGGATAATATTTGTAAATACTGTTATGCTTTAAAGTAAAAGAAGGAAACTAAAGGTTTCTGTTGTTTAAATAGACAAGTTGTTTTGGCATCTTTATCTTTAGCTTCACAAAATTTATATAATTTGCTTACTCAAAATAATTCAGATTCAGATGAATCTTTTGTAACTCATATTAGAGGTAACTCATATTAGAGCATACAATTAGGTTCTTGCATTTACATTTTTAGGTGTAAACTTTGATAAAGAGCTTGCAAATGCTAAAAAGAAAATTTACACATTTAGAATTCAAGGAATATTATATCATCAGATTGGTAGTCTAATGCCAAGATATAATGATGAAAAACCTTTATTTGCTCAAATTTATTTTTTTGATTTAAATATGGATAATCAACTTCAAAGAAGACAAAAAATGTTTCCAAATTTGAATGCTGACATGCTCAAAGTATTACAGAATAAACTAATTATAATCAATTCATTTGTTAATCAATTTGTAATTGCAGAAGCAAAGGCAAAAATAGAATTTGATAATTCTCATTGGAGAATGATCGTCCATAATATATATGACAAGAATATGAGATAATACAACAAGCCAACAGCATCAAAAGTTGCAGTTCTTCTTTGTGACTATAATATTCAACTAGATTATTGAAATATTGTTATACAAACTAAAGAAAAACAATTAAAACATACTTTTGAATTGAATGATGCGTACAATCTTTTGCAATATCCTTTGCTATTTCCTTATAATGAATATGAATGACTTGATAATATTTTAAGAGCAAATAAATTGAATCTATAATTGAATCCAAAGCTGAAGATGAGGATAGAATGCAAATTGATAAGAAAATTATATAAAAAATTAGACATTCTGAAGTGTCTCAATTTTTTAAAAATCTAGATTTAGCAAGTTTAAATAAAGGAAAGGATAAAGAAAAAGAATTAGAAATAGAAAAGGAACTTATTTAAGCATATACACCTGAATCTGATAATATTGAAGTTGACTCTAGGATTAATCCTGATAAAGATAATGAAATAGATGAAGATAAAGAATTAAAAAATTAACTAAGAATTAAAAAAGAAACGAGTTACAATTAGAGAATTTGCAGCTTATAGAATGCAAATTAGAGATTCAAATAGAACAAAAAGTATATTACACCTTTCAGGAAGATTATTTTAGCAATATTTAGTGGATCAATATGCTAAAGATGAATCTAATCATTTAAGATAACATAGAGAAATGCAATAAAGTTTTAGATTTGAATTATATTCAGGTTTACATGACATTATTAACGATGAAGATTTTCACATAGATAAGATTGGAAAAAAAAAATCTTATCCTTTTCATTTACCGGATCTACCAGATATATGTAACAATTATATCAAGATTCTATGGCAATAGTTAGAGAATTTGGAAAACCTGACTTATTTGTCATTATCACTTGCAATCCAAATTGGCCAGAAATTGTAGCAGAACTTTTGCCAAATCAACAAGCAAGTGATCAACCTGATATAGTTGTAAGGGTGTTTAAGTTAAAATTAAAAGAAATCACTATGATCTTTTTGTAAAAGGTGTTTTAGGAAAAGTTATTGCCAATATGCATATAATTGAATTTCAAAAAAGAGGATTACCACATGTACATATTTTAATGATCTTATCACTTGAGGATAAACCAAAATCACCAGAAGATTTTGATCAAATAGTATGTGCTGAATTTTCAGACAAAAATTAAAAACTATTATTATTTGTAACTATTAGTAAAAACATGATTTATGAACCTTGCAGAAACTTAAATTCTGAATCATCTTACATAGTTGATGGTAAATGTAGCAAATATTATTATAGAGAATTTGCTGCAATAACTACAACAAATAAGCGTAAATATACAATATATAGGCAAAGAAATAGTGGAAGAACAATAAAAAAAGGAAAATTTACTCTTGATAATAAATGGATTGTTTCTTATAATTCCTATTTATGCCAAAAATATGATTGTCATATAAATGTAAAGATATGATCAAGTATTCAATCAGTTAAATATCTCTATAAATATATTTACAAAGGATATGATCATATTATTATATCCATTGAAAGCTTACAAGATGAAATCACAAAACATCTAAATGTAAGATATGTTTCTGCTATTGAAGTATCTTGGAGATTATTTAATTTTGGTTTGCAAGAAAGGTCTCATAAAGTTAAATGACTTTCAGTTCATTTAGAAGGTTTGATTAAATTTTCCAAAACTGTACAATTATTTTAATATCGAATTATCAGGTATTAAAATAAATTTGTTATTTTTCAAAAGTTTTGCTATAAATTTAAGCATAACAGATGAAAATGATAAATTAAATTCAATAAGATAAGGTGTTGCCGATCCTCATAAAGATAAACATGATTGCAAATATAGATTTTGTATAATTGTAGTCTTTAAAAAATTTGAAGGTAGAGATTTAGTTTTAAGTAAAATTGGTATCATAATAAAAGTAAAGTATGGATTTATAATTTTATACAATCTGCATTTTTAGAGCATTTTAATTTAAAGGTTTTAAAAAATAGATTTTCTATAGTGTATTATTTGAAGAAATCATTTTATAATGAAATCTAATTTTTTACTATTAAATAACCTTTTTTTTGAATTATATATTATTAAAAATTATGACTAATCAAAATATTAGGCTAAATTTAATATAAACTAATTTTTTTTTGTTGATTACAAATCAAAAAAATAAAAAATAAAAAATTTTTATTATATGTCAATATTTTTAATAATATTCTTAATTGTTTAATTATATGCCAATGTTTTAAAATTATTCACCTAGTGATTGTCTTAAAATTTCACTTCATTTATAATCGATAAACAATATATATTAATATAAAAAAAAATAATATATATATAAACTAATAACTCTATCTACTTTTTTATTTTTAAAAAAAAAATATTATGTCTTTTTATATATATCAACATTATACTTTTAATACAAGCCTTTCATCAGAATTATCATTAAATTATTCAAATAATTCTGAAAATATGTTAAGACAATTGTAAGATTAATTACAATCACATCAAATTGCAAATTCTAGACATATTCTTCCTCCTTCTATTGCTTCAACTTATTTACCTATTGATCCTTAGATACCGAGTACAAAATTTTTAAATCTTCAAACCAAATTTAATTTAAATATCTTAAATCAATTTATTTGTGCTGCATGTGCATTTTGTAGATGCTTAATGTATCCTAAAAAATGTGAATAGTTAAATTATAATGAAATTTTATTTTATCCTCTTTTACAAGCATATCCTGAAAAACAACCTGAATTACTATTAATATTTCAAGTTAAACTTCCAAAAAATATTGCTATATATTTATTGTGTAAAAATCCTACAAAAAGATATATATTTTCATTTTTTTATTCTATTCCAAATGAAATTTAAGCAGTTTCTCTAGAAAAAAAAAGGTATTTATCTCCTGTATTTATGCATTATTTTTTAGGTAGAAATTCTAAGTATAGCATAATATATTCAGAATATAAAACATTAACTGATATAATGAATTTTTCAAAAAATATGTGTTTATTAATATTATATTCTAGAATGGTTGGTACTTATCTTAAAGATAATGATTCAATGTCAGATACTTCTTAGCTTAATGATATGTTAATTGTAGCAGCTGATTAGTTAAAATTATATAATCCTTTCTTAAAGAATTATTCATGTCTTTTAAATCTTTCTAGTTCTAATATCACAAATTCATTTTCCAGTACTTTTCATTTATCTGATGATAATTCTGCACTACCATTTTTACCTAATAAAATTATAGTACCAAATGTTAATTTTAACATTAAAATTCACAATGAAGATTATCATTATTTACACTTAATGGCAGGATTTATTAAAATTTCTGATAATACGTTATTACCTTTAGGTATAAATAATCTAAATCTAGAAGGTTTATTATTTCCTGACTTATTTTTAAATGAAAAAGGATACTATCAAAATATGAATCTTAATTCTAGTACACAAAATATTACACGTAAAGAAACTTATTCTAAATATATTAAACAACGTATACTTAATATAGATTCTTGATTTAGACTTCATTATAAATGGATTGTATGATTATATTTATAATTAGAAAAATTCAAAATCATCAAAATCATCAATAAATTCTAAGACAAAATCAAGCTGATAAGATTCATTGATTGCCAACTGCAGCACAAATTATTCAAAGGTCAAGCTATTCTAATAGACAAATAATAAATGAATCTATAATAACTACATTGCTAACTTTTATTCATACTGGTGATACTTACTTTCATAAAAAGGAACTTCATGTAATACAATAATTTCTTCATATAGTTTACCATCTTTATTTATCACGTTTATGATGACAGAAAATCATTAGATACATTTACATAGAATTTTAAAAGCAACAGATAATCATAATACTATACCAATAAATAGATCTTTACACAGTACATTACACTTTATATATCATTTACAACAACTTAAAAAATACATTTGAAAAAAACCTAAACATTCAAAATGTGGTGAAATTAAACATTTTTTGAAAAGTAGAATTTCAAAATTGTGGTGTTGAAGCTGTGATCTGTAACTGCAGCGATCATCTGATTTAGTTGACAAATATGACAGATTGGTCATATTTGACCGAT